TATCCTTACCTTTCTCCTCTCCCCTGTCTCTCATTCCCCCACTCCCCCTGCCTCTGAGCGCCCCATTTTCCGCCCCCCTGCGCCCCCCCACACCACCAGCACCGCCATCAATATCATCAGCATCGTCATCAGGAAGACTTGAGAGCATCCGCCTAGCACCCTGAGGGGGAGACGGTCGGGAGGGAGAGGCAGGGAGGGACGGAATGGAAGAATCACAGGATATAGCATCATCTCCATTTTCGACAAGGACATCCGCCAGCATCCACCTACCACCCTGAAAAAGAAGGAAAAGCAGCAGAAAAGGAGGGAGGGAGGGGGCAGCGCAAGGGGAGCGCAGAAGAGGTGGGAAAGACTCGAGGGTGGGAAGATAGAAAATGTGGGAACAAGGAAGCGAAAGATTCGCCGAGGGGGCTTACCGGCCCAATGAAGCCAACTTGTCGGAACTTCTCGCGAAGAGGAGCCGGCGTATCGTTGTCACTGTCACCATCTTCTTTGTCATCCTCATCACCACTCTCGCTCCGAGATTCAGAATCCGAAAGCGAGACCACTTCCTGATTTCCCCACCCTTCCCATTTGCCACCCTCACCATTCCCTCCTCCTGCCTCGCCTGCTGCTCTACACTCTCCTCCCCTCCCTCCATCCCCTTCTCCCGCACCCTGCATTCCCTCTCCTCTCATCACATCCATTCGCCCCATAGTCTGCTGCACCGCCTCCCCTACAGCAGGGACACCCTCCTCACTCTTCTCCTTATCTTGTGCCTCCCCACTCTGCTCCCTCTCCTGCTCCTCCTCGCTCTTCTCTCTCTGTCCGCTCAGCCCCTTGCTCTCAGTGGCTTGAGAAGGGGTACCGGGGGAAGATGCTGCACCATCTGCTCCTGCTGCCTTGACTTCGTCGACTGTTCCTGCAGCCTCTGCGTCCACTGCTGCGGCTGTATCCACTACTGCCGCTGCTGCCGCTGCTGCTGCTACTGGTGCTGGTGCAGCTGACGTTCCAGCCTGAACGGCTTCGCTCTTCCCTTTCCCTTTCTCTCTACTTTCCCCCTCCCTCACTCTGTATTTTCCCCTCCTCTCCTCCCCCTCTGTCCCCCGCCGGCGCTTCTGCACTGTTCCTTTGTTCGCTTTGCTGCCCGCTGCTGCCAGGGAACCTGAGAAGAGCTGCGGGGGCGAGAGCAGGACAGGGGAGCGTGGACACAACAACAGGGTCTCGTAGTGAGACGGGAATGAACCGGAGGCAGAATGCACCGTTTGCAGAAACAAACGACTAAAGCGACCCAAGGGCGGGCACAAATGCACCATGTGACAAATTGGACCGAGCATTCGCGCTGTGATAGCCAGAGAGGCAAGGGCCATGGCAGAGCTGATGATTTGTAGAGGCAGGGGCGCAGGCAGGAGCGGAGGGTTTGTACATGTCCGTGTGTGTCTGTAGTGTGTTTCTGTATGAGGCATCCATGGGCTTGGGTCAGTGAGTGGCGGTGGCAGGAGCAGGTGGTACAGGTCTGTGTGTGCTTCTGCATGGGGCTCACCTGGGCTTGAGCGTACGCTGGCGAGTGGCTTACCTGCCAGGTAGTACCTGGGCTTGGGCACACGTGGTGAGAGGCTTACCTGGGCTTGGGTGGGTGAGCGGCGGGGGGGCTGCCATTCCTTGCCACAGGCGAGGCAGAAGGAGTTGAGGGTGGTGACCAGCAGAGGGCGCAGCAGGGGGTGATAGAGCGGCATCTCCAAGGCTATGTGCCCGAAATGGCCTGGAGGGAGAGGGAGGGGCGTGGGGTGGGGAGAGGGAAGTGTTTTGAGGCGCCTTAGAACAGGCAAGCAAGAAGGTTAGAGAGTGGTCAAGATGATAGGGCACAGAGGGCGCAACAGGGGGTGGTACAGGGGGTGGTACAGCAGCACTAAACCCTGTACACGTCAGCAGCCCTCTCACTCACCTGTACACGTCAGCAGTCATCTCACTCACCTGTACACGTCTGCGAAGGCTTTCCGCACATGCCACATCGGCTCTCCTTCCGATCCCGCACCCCCAGAAGCGAACTGCTGACGTCAGCAGGCTTGGTGCATTTGAGCACCGACCAGCGTTCCTGACGATTTTGGGGGGGCGGGGGAGGAGGGGTGGAGGCGGGGGTGGAGGAAGTCTCAGAGAAACTAGTACGGTCATCTTGGCATTCAAAACAGAATTCCGCCTACATGACAAAGAGTATAGCCAACTGTTAGGCAAGTCTGGGATGGAAGTGAGATGCTGGAATCTTCGTTATTTCTGTTTTTCCAAGCACCAGCTTAGTTTTAGCCAGATAACTGCCCACATACCACGTCCGTCCACTTGGCAAGCTCGAACGTCAGATTTTCGACGCGCTCCGCCATGGGAGGCAGTAGTCTCTAAGTCTTCCGCTGATAAGAGATTTGCACCCCAGTAAGCACAAACAAGCTTCGCTCCCAACGAGGTAGTTATGTTGTGCTAAGCTTCTCTGGCTGGTGCTGTGCAGAATTTGCAGAATCTGCAGAATCAGGAAACTGGTTGGTGCTAAGCTGAATCAGAAATCTGGGTGGAGCTAAGCTGAGTCTACATTCTGGTTGGTGGTAAGCAGAAGCTAAGCCTGAGCGGAGGACGCGGAATAAACGAAGAGGAGAGGAGGTTTCTAAATTTCAGGTCCACCACCGCGCTTGAGCAGGCGTTTAGAGAGTGCTACTTGATAAGAATGTCAATGTCTTGTCGGTAATGAGACGCCTGAGAGACGTTTTACGAGGCGCATTGTGAGGCGAAGATTCGCGGTCAGCAGAAATCCGAGGAGCAGGACGAAGGCCCATGAGCGAGAAACGAGGCTAGGTGTAACTTTTTCCTCCTAGCTTCGCTGTACTTCGTGAAGCTATAATGGTGGAGGCTAAATAGAGAGTGAGATATACGGACAGCCTGACAGCCTGACACGCGACATGCAGGCGTTCAGGCTTGTATGTCACGCCTTATGCCTGAACGGCTTTCAGGCTCCAATGTGCCCGAGCCATTTTTAAGGCTCAATGTGGGAGCAAATAACCGAAACCTATTATACCGAGCATATTGGGATGCCATGCGTGGGTCTAATGCCAGGCAGGCAACCCTCCCGATATTTTTTGTCAGAGCCGTTGGCTTGATATCTGTCAGGCGCATTTCAGGCTGCTGCTGTTCGACAACTCCTATATTTGATGTTCTGCTGTTTGGGAACGCCGAAGCGTTTTGGCCCCCAAACACCCGATATAAAGCTTTTCCGAAACGATTCCAAGAAACATTTGCGCTAGAGTTGAAAGTTGGATTCGGCATTACTGTTTTTACATTCGAGTGAACATCATTGTAAACCGCTCCAGCATTTCTCATACACGCAATCTTATTCCCTGCGAGAAGTAAAATCTTGAAATCCAGGCATTTTTGCTGGTGGCGTCTCATACATGTGGTGGAAATGGCTGTTTCTTGAAGAGCACGTTTCCCTTCCATTTTTGTGGTACTGTACCGTATTGGAGACGAGTCTGCCGGGTTCAACGGTTTCACCCGCTCCACTGGTAGTTCAAATTCCTACTCATCCCGCGTTCGTGTAGTTCTTCAATCGTCATTCCGCGTCCGACATATTTCACGTGCCGACTGAGCCGAGATACCTATTTTCTGGCTGCCAGATTGTTCTTGACGTGCATTGCATCCTGATCAGGTCGAGAATCTTCGAGCATTGTAGATAAGAGTTCTTACCAATGTCGGTCGCAGTCTCGTAGCACTAGCTTCTCCGATGTTACAGGGCTCATGAAATTGAGCACCAATGGCGGTCGCAGTCTCGTAACGTTAGCTTCACCAAGCAGGCTTCCGCCAAGGACCCTGTTTTAGAATCATGTCTTGGTAACTTCGCGCGGTTTTTGAGGCGCCTCAAAATTCGCGCGGTTAGAATTCCTCATTTTTAGCGTGTTGACAGGCTCTTTCAAGCCAGCACAATCCTCGTTTCCTTGTACATATTCCCTTACGCCATTTGTTATTTATTTTTTTCGGACGTCTCGGATTCGCGAACTAACGCATCGTACTATAACGCGGCCATGAGCGCGGGACCGTCCGCTGCTCCTCCAGCAACAGTTACCAATTCCAACGCATCCAGCCACAAAATGTCAGCGATGGGATTCGAACAGCGTCTCAGGCTGATGTGTGCGCGCGCACGGCAGATTGACGACGAGGCGGGGACGGGCCTGTCTGAGAGCGAAAGGCAGCACTGCCTGGAGGAGCAGAGGGAGGAGGTGAGTTGAAACAGAGAGAGGGAGGGAGAGAGCGGCCTAGGCTGATGTGCGATCGAGCGAGGCACATCAACGAGGAGGTGGGGCCAGGCCTGTCGGATGGCGAAAGGCAGCAATGCCTGGAGGAGCAGAGGGAGGAGGTGAGATGAAAGCGATGGAGGAGGTGAGGGGAGACGGAGGAAGCGAGTGGCTTGGGCTGAGGTGGGGACGGCCCTATCTGATGGCGAAAGGCAGCAATGCCTGGGGGAGCAGAGGGAGGAGGTGAGATGGAACGGAGAGAGAGACAGGGTGAATTGAAATCGAGTGCAGGGATGAGAAGAGACTGACTTTTAGATGTATACGCTCTTGTGTTTCTACCCATACCAGATCGAAGCCCTCCAGTCCATTTTCGATACCGACTTTGAAGCCATCTGGCTAGCATCGTCCGCCACCTCCTCCCCGCCCTCCCCCACTTCCACTTTCGCCGCCTCTGCTTCCCAAGGTGCCTCCTCCTCCTCCTCCTCCCATGACTCCCCTCCGTCACCAACAGCGAGTTTCACAACCGCGCCTTACAACAGTTTCCTGGTATGGCAGTCACCCTTTTATAAATCGCACAGTAGGATGATGAAGGGAGGTCGTCGAATGCGAGTATAACACTATAGTAGATTGCCTGCTGAGCCCAAACACTTTGTTTAACTTGATTGTTTTTTCGCACGCCTGCCTAAATAGCATCCCTCTCCTTGCTGTCTGCCTAACACTGAGATGTATTTTTTCTTCCTAACACCTGCCCCCTCTCTATGCCCTCATTTACTTTCCCCCCTCCCCTCCCCGTTCAGATTGACATTCGCATTGCCATGCCCTCGCCCCTTTTGGTCGTCTCCTCCCCTCCCACTGCCACCTCCTCCCTCTCTTCCACCCCTTCCTCCTCCTCCTCCACCACCACCACCACCTCCTCCTCCTCCTCCTCCTCCTCCTCCTCCTCCTCCTCCTCCTCCTCCTCCTCCTCCTCCTCCTCCTCCTCCTCCTCCTCCTCCTCCCCCCAACCCTCCACCTCCACCACATCCGCCTCTCGCCAGCCCCCCCTCCCTCCTCCTTTCCTCATCTCCCACCTCCCCCCTCTCCGCCTCCTCTGTCTCCTCCCCCACTCCTACCCCTCCGCCTCCCCTCCCCTCTTCGCTCTTCTCTCGTCCTGGCTCTCCCACGCCCAGCTGGCACGCCTCTGCGCCCAGCTGGACGCCACGTGGCAGCAGCAGAGTGGCCTGGTCGTGGTGTACACGTGGGCAGCATGGCTGGGGGAGGAGGCTCTTGTGTGCCTTGGGATTGGTCAGGAGCTGCGACTGCTGGGTGGAGGGGGGTGGGGGGAAGTGGGGGGGGAAGGGGACAGAAAGGGAGGAGAGCGGCAGAAGAAGAAGAGTAAGGACGAGGCGACATGCCCATGCCAGGACGCACCAGCTGCCTACTGCAGGGCAGTGCCCGAGGGCATGTCTCTGCACGACGACCTGGCGCTGCTGAGGCGGTGGAGCAAGGAGATGGACGACCGCCACTTCCGCGCCTCACTGCACGCCTGCGCCATCTGCTTCTCGCAGAAGCCTGGGTTGGAGTGCGTGCGCCCGGCCTGCAACCACGCGTTTTGCACCGCTTGCATGAGCGCGTTTGCTGAGGCGCTAGTGGGGGAGGGGAACCTCCAGGCGCTCAAGTGCCCTGACACCAAGTGCCGAGCACCTCTGTCCTATGGTACGTTCATGCTCCTATGGTATGTGCGTGCTTGCAACCGTGCTTGCAACCATGCATGCATGAGCGCGTTTGCTGAGACGCTGGTGGGTGAGGGGAACCTCCAGGCGCTCAAGTGCCCTGACACCAAGTGCCGGGCGCCCCTCTCATATGGTGCGTGCATGCATGCTGCTAGGTGCCCCTCGTTCCCTCACTTCCAGGCGTCCCTGCACGCCTGCGCCATCTGCTTCCCGTAGAAGCCTGGAACGGAGTGCGTGCGCCCGGCATGCAACCACGCGTTCTACACCGCTTGCTTGAGCGCGTTTGCTAAGGCGCTGGTGGGTGAGGGAAACCTCCAGGCGCTCAAGTGCCCTGACACCAAGTGCCCAGCACCTCTGTCCTATGGTACGTTCATGCTTCTATGGTATGTGCGTGCTTGCAACCGTGCTTGCAACCATGCATGCATGAGCGCGTTTGCTGAGACGCTGGTGGGTGAGGGGAACCTCCAGGCGCTCAAGTGCCCTGACACCAAGTGCCGGGCGCCCCTCTCCTATGGTACGTGCTTGTTGCTTGCTTCCCTGCGCCTCTCTTTACCTGTCTGCCTGCCCGTTCCCCTCCGGGCTCTGCTGAGGCGGTGGAGCAAGGAGATGGACGACACGACAGGCACTTCGCGGCGTCCCTCCCTGCACGCCTGCCTTTGAGGCGCTGCAGCCACAACCTCCTCCTCCCTTCCTAAGTTCCTACCTCCCCCTTCCCCCAGGTTCAACAGACCTGTTGCGATCGCTGCTCCCTCCTGATCTCTTCACTCGCTAGGAGCAGCTGAGCTGACCCTAAATCCTCCATCCTCCCCTGTCCCTCTCCCCTCTCTGCCCGTTCAACAGACCTGCTGCGTTCGCTGCTCCCACATGAACTCTTCACTCGCTGGGAGCAGCTGACCCTGCAGCGCTCCCTGGACGCCATGCCCGACGTGGTCTTCTGCCCGCGCTGCAGCCAGCCATGTGTGGAGGACCCCTCCGACCACCACGCGCTGTGCCCCGGGTGCTTCTTCTCCTTCTGCGGCATGTGCCGTGAGGGATTCCACCGAGGAAAGACCTGTGTGACTCCGGAGCTGGCCCTTAAACTCATGAAGGTGAGTGTGATGTGCGGAGAGAGGTGCGGTTGAGTTCTCCAAGGTGAAAGAGGTGGAGGGGACTGACAGAACGCTGGAAATCTTGTCTTTTGGTTTTCCTTGCTCAACCGCTCTTCTGCCTGTGTGCCGCTCCGTGTTGTCTCAGGAAGCAAGTACCTACGACAGCAGGGGCAAGCACTGGCTGAGGCTCAGGAAGCAGAGAGTCGTCACGAAGCAAAGTCTGTTGCCCCTCCTCCCTTACTTGGTTTCCTCTTCTCTGTCTCAGCTGTTGGAGCAGGAGTGGGCACTGGCTCTTGAAGAGCTCCAGGAGCAGAAGATTTGAGATGTCTCAAAGCTCAACTTTCATCACACACTTCTCTGCCTTGTGTCGATCCGTTCTGTCTCAGCTGCGGCAGCAGGAGCGAACACTGGCGGAAGAAGAGCTCAGGAAGCAGAAGGATCTCGAGCAACAAGTACTCAGTCTTAAGTAAGTACTCAGTCTTAAGTAAATACTCAGTCTTAAGTAAGTACTCAGTCTTAAGTGAGTACTCAGTCTTAAGTAAGTACTCAGTCTTAAGTACGTACTCAGTCTTAAGTAAGTGCTCGGTCTTAAGCAAGTACTCAGTCTTAAGTAAGTCTCACTTTTCAAGAATGTCATCATTTCGAGGTGGCCTCAGCAGCATGAGTCGATCGCATGAACTGACTTGGTCTGACGAGTCTCGGTTTTGAGGCACCTCAAAACCAACAAGCCTTGGTCTTCCCAAGACTCTCTCTTTCTCTCGTTCTGTTGGCGGAGTAGGGTGCACCGTGCCCCGTGTGCAGCACAGCCATCAGGTGGAGCGAGGGGTGCCTGCCGTGCCGTGCCCCTCTCACCTTCATCTCTCCCTGTCTCCTCCCCTTGGTCCCCCATCTTCCTCTACCCCTCTGCAGGCTAGTGGAGGAGGAGAGTGTGCCGTACCCCGTGTGCAGCACAGCCATCAGCACTCTCTTGAGCTCTCTCCAAGCTTCTCTTTTCACTCACTCCCTCTCCTCTCACTCCCTCCCACTCTGCAGGCTGGTGGAGGAGGAGAGTGTGCCGTGCCCCGTGTGCAGCACGTCCATCAGCAAGAGCGAGGGGTGCAACAAGATGATCTGCCCCACCTGCGGCACCTACTTCTGCTACCGCTGCCACGAGCGCATCTCTGGTTACGACCACTTCACGTGAGTTTCCGATTCACTCATGTAACTGCTGCATATGCTACCATCCCGCCATCCCCTTTCTCTTCCTCCCGCCATCCACCCGTGCCCACCCCCCCCCCCCCCTCTCTCTGGCCTCTAATTCTCCCCTCTTCACCTTGTCTCACCAGCAACGGCACGTGTGTGCTGTTTGAGGCTGCGGAGATCGATCAGTGGGAGATGCAGATGGCAGCCATGGGTGCGGCAAACAACCAGCACCATCGACCCCCGCCTCCTCTTGGGGCGGATGGCAGACCATTGCCTGCAAGACGCTGTCCAAATTGCCGCCAATTCAACCATAAGGTTAGCTCATGGCTAGATTTCCTAAGTTATGCATGCAGGTCGAAGCTCGGGCTGATTTTGGTTCTGGTCTTGCTGTTCCGCTGTTCTGTATGTTTGTCGTTTGTTGAACGTTTTCTGTTTGGCTGTGGCATGCAGGAGGCGCGAAATAATGACATGCATTGTTGGAGTTGCCGCACACGCTTCTGCGGCATGTGTAACCAGGTCATGAGAAATGTGTATCATTTTCGACCAAATGGATGTCGCCAACACACGGATGATTAGCCAACCATGGGGTTTAACTTTTAGGTCAGCATGCTGACTATTCTGGGATAGAAGAGATGCAAGTGGATTTTTGCATGTATATTATGGATGTATGCTCCCTCATTGTTTACTGGCTTTTCTCGTCATATTCTGCCCGAGTGTGTATATTGGAAACCGTGTCTGTCACTAGCGCTTCATGCCGTTAAGCGTAAACGGCGGGCGACACAAACCAGCCTATGTTGCGACTCCATCATGCTAAGGCTTCTGACGTTCACGGGACATCAACTGAGCTTGCTGAGCCGACAAACTGAGCGGCTACGACATTTATTTTCGCAAAGACTGCGCGCGCCAACGGCCAAATTTGCAAAGCCCGCGCCGTGCCGACAGGCCCAACCAAACAAATTTGGCCCTCAAATGCGGCTCGCGATTTCGGGGCTGCCTGCTGCAATTTGCTGCAGCGGCGAATTTGATGCCTTCCCGTGGTTGGCGGCGCGGTTCGCCAATTTTGGTTGGAGTTCTGAGCACGCTGTGGAGGGGAGGAGGTAGGCAGCCAGGCAGGCAGAGAACGCGAGAAAGGGATGAGCAAGACTAGCGAAATGCTGGTTTGGCGTCAAACCACCACTCTTTACTCTCCTCGACCTGGCGCTTCGCGCTAAGCTTGGCCTCGTCGTTCTCCTAAACTCCTCTGTCAATTTCAAATTCCGTCCCGCCCTGATGCTTGCTTTAGTTGCGAACACTGCCGAGCCGACGCCATTTTGTTGACCCGCTCCGCACGTACCGCGTTACCTCACCCACCCACCCACCCACGCCCATCCCTCAGCATCCGACTGTTCAGCCAGCTCCACCAGTTCCGCTCTTTCCACCACCGCCCACGCAGAGAGATTGCGTCAAAGGCCTACATTGCTCGGATAAATCCCTATTTCGGCCGACATTGCGTCTGCTTTCTTCTCACTCCCGCTCGCCACCACCACCGTCCACGGAGAGAGATTTGAACCCTCTCGTTCAAACTCCTCCCCAATAACACCCCATATCACGTCTCGCGTTTCTATTGACCAAGTCAGCACCCTGCTGACTCTCGATTTCCTCTTAGCTCCGTCTCGCGTTCTTCTCTTAGCTTTGGTATTCAGGCAGACGGAGAGCAACCACTGGATCCAGCACTCTTTGCTTATTCTAGACTGCACGTCATCAGCCAGAATTGACCAGCCTGTTTTGAGTCGACTCAAAATTGACCAGCCCCTAACGAGAGGCTGCTTTCCTAGGGACCATCCAGAGGTTGCTTTTGACAAGCCACAATAACCGCGAGTGCGGTTGACTGCCCCGTCTGTCTAGCAGCCTGAATCTCCCGCTCCGGGCTCCGGGCTTGCCTTCGTATCCCATACTCTCAGACAACCGCCAATCCGCGAAATCGCATCACCAGCCATGTCGATTCCACGCCTCGCGAGCGGATCACGCTCGCACACGCGGTTCTCTCCTCTCCTCACGAAGCTGCCTGTCCTACTAGTCAGTTTCCTAGTCGTCGCCATCTCATGTCACGCCACAACCACAGCCGCAGCCGCAGCCGCAGCCGCCTTCCCCCAACTCTCCTCCGCGCACGCCCGGTGGCTGCAAGAGGTCTCCGCTCCCCCTCCGCCCGTCGTCACAACCTCCCCTCCGCCAGCCGTCACAACCTCCCCTCCGCCCGTCGTCACAACCTCCCCTCCGCCCGTCGTCACAACCTTCCCTCCGCCCGTCGTCACAACCTCCCCTCCGCCCGTCGTCACAACCTCCCCTCCGCCCGTCGTCACCACCTCCCCTTCCCCTCCCATTGTGTCGGTTTCTCCCCCACCCGACACCTCCTCTCCCCCTCCCGTTACCACCTCTCCTTCCCCTCCCATTACCTCCCCCTCACCTCCGCTCTCCCCTCCTCCCGCCCCTCCTTCCTCTCCTCCTCCCTCACCGCCTCTTTCTCCGCCTCCTTCCCCCCCACTCCCCCGCCCTCCCCTCCCCCGACTCCTCCCCCTCCCCCTACCCCGCCCCCGCCGCCTCCCCCGCTCGGAACTTGCCCTTCCTCGTTTACCGTCGGAATGCGGTGTACCAACTGCACCACCCCTGGCGGCTGCATCTGCGACTCGTTCGGCGTGTGCCGGCCCAGCTGTAGCTTCGTGCCGGGCGTTGACTACAAATCGCCCAGGTGGCGGCGCGCGTGCGCCACGTGCCCGAGCAAGCGCGCCGGCGTGCCGAACGCGCAGTGCGCGTGTGACATAAACGGAAGCCAGACGTGCGTGGATTTCTGCGCGCTGCCGGAGAATAACAACGGCGTGACGCCGTGCACGGGATGCAAGAACGCGACGGGCAACGGGTGCGTGTGCGGCCGCGGGCAGTGCGTCGACGCGTGCAGCACGGCGAACCCAATGTCGGCGCTGGTCAGAGGCGCGGCTTGCACCGTCGGATGCTCGTAAGTCGTATTGCTCTCTCGTCGCCCTCTGTCGAACCGTTTAACTAGATGCTACGAGCGACCATTCCCAACTAAAGCAGACGGTTTAAGAAAACGATTGGGGACGTTCCTCGCCTGGTATATCCCGCTCATTTCGTTTTGAGACGCCTCAGAAAGACACTACTAGCACACGTATATCCTGCTCACTCAAGGCCGTTTCTCTGTGTGTGTGCTTGCCTTGGCATGCGCAGGGCCAAGGCGGGTAAGGACGGGTGCGTGTGCTCGCCGTCCAAGGGCAAGTGCGTGCCGTTCTGCAACGAGAAGGACGGCTACCCGTGCACCAACTCGGCGTCCGGCGAAGGCTACTGCCGCGCCGGGCTCTGCTACGACATCTGCGCCATCGCCAGTGAGTGGACGCACTTAAACGACAGGTGCATTCGTGATGAATAGAAGCAATCTAGCAGGCTTTTGAGTCGACTCAGCTACTGCCGCGCCGGTCTCTGCTACGACATCTGCGCCATCGCCAGTGAGTGGACGTTACAGCCATAGCCATTACATGCGACAAGTACGCCAGCCATCATGACGGATAGCAGAGTCATAGCGAACGGATGGAAGTGATCGAGCAGCGAGAAAAGAAAAACAATTATATGCAAATTCCTTATAATTGATACAGACGATTCTTTGTCAGCCTGAGAACCGTTTGGACGAGTGCCGTCTCATCGCCATTCCTCGTCTCCCTCCCGTTCCCCCCATTGCCGATAGAACCCGGCACCGTTTGCAGCACGTGCAACACGACCAAAGGCGGCTCGTGCGTCTGCGGCTCGTCGGGGAAATGCGAGCCGGACCTCTCGTGCACGGGCCCGTCGCCCGTTCCGCTCGTCCTCAATTCGCCGAACGCCTACCCTTGTACCTCGTGCGCGAACGCGTATTATTACTCGGTTACCAACGTTAACGTGGTTACCGCGCCGGGGTGTAGATGTGCCGCTAAAGGGAAGTGCGTGGAGCCTTGTAACGGGGGATTGGCGGAGGGAGCGGTTTGCAGCGGTGGAGCGGCGTGCAAGGATAATACGAACGGATGCAGGTGTACGAAAGGGACGTGCAGACCGTTTTGCGAGTTGCCTACTAACGAGGGAGCCGCGTGCGGAGATATGTTTTCGCAGCAGGGGACGTGCGTCGGCGGGAAGTGCGTTCCGCGGTGTGGTGTGGCTGGAAGCGACGGGTTACAATGCAGTTACAATTGCACAAGGTACGAAGGGGGAAAGGGAGGCAGGGGGAAAGGGAGGCAGGGGGAAAGGGAGGCAGGGGGGAAAGGGAGGCAGGGGGAAAGGGAGGCAGGGGGAAAGGGAGGCAGGGGGAAAGGGGAGGGGAGAAACAGAGATTCTCTTGGCTGCTTGTCCTGCGCTAATGAATCATCTTCTTCATTCCCCTGCGCTAATGAATCATCTCTCCATTCGTGTGCCATGCCATTTTCCGCATAAGAATGCTGCTCATCCCCTCATGGACGGACATGTGAAACTGTATCCTCCTCGCCCTCTCTATGTGTGTGTGTGCCTATGCTCATCCTCCTCTCCCTCTCTCCCTTTGTCTGCCTGTTGAATTGCAGCCAAGTGTGCTTGTGCTCCGCAGGCCAGTGCAAACCCCAATGTCAGCTGCCGAATGCCGAGGGCGGGGAGTGCTTTGATGGGTGTGACAGCGGGGGGCCGTGCACGTGTTACAGAGGGGAGTGTGTGAATAAGTGTCAGGTGCCGGCCAATGAGGGGAGTAGGTGCGTTGACTGCAGCCGGAACCCCTACTGCAAGTGCAGAAGCGGGCAGTGTGTCAACGAGAGGTGAGGGTGGGTTTGTTTTTCTGAGATAGTACGATAGGCATTGGACAGGAACCCTGGCAAATAAATGGGTGCTGCATTGCTAAACCTAGTCCCAAGGACACTGTCTGTGATAGCTGCTCTGCTCCAAGATAGCTTATGGGGCATCATTGCATGTTCTTCAGCATACCATCTCTGTGTAACTGCTAACTTCCAGTCAATATGGAAAAACTTCTGAAATTGTGCAGCTGAAATCGTACACCTCGCTATTCATTGTCTCTGTACCCAAATCAGTATACCGATTTGCTCTCATTCACGAACAGCAACTACCTACTGAACATGGTTGAACTTTGTGCATGCCTTCCAACAAGAGGTATGAGAAATACTCATAGCGGCTTATAAAGTAGCCAAATTGTGGTGGTGTACTAATCATACAAATACAAATTCGTGTTCTCTGGGAAAAAATGTTAGGAAAGCCGAGCCGGCTGCAAAATATACTGAAATCATGGTTGTGGCTTTGAGGAGCCACCTACCACCGGGAGTGTCTCCCCCCTCCCATCTCATGCTCTTTATGGGATGGAATTTTTCCTGAAGTGTGTATTCTTAGGTGCAGATTTGTAATCAATCACTGTAGAACTCACAATTATGCCAACGGAACCGCGAACCAGCAAACCTTGGTGTCAGCCCCTGCCTGCCAGGAGACCTCCAACCTTCGAAATTCCCGCGCGAATCTCTAGGGCCCATCCTTCTGTTCCACTTCCCCTTCCCTTCTGATCACTCGCCACGCCAGTCTACTTTCAGAGAGGGAAAGCCAGCATCTACTGTACTTCCACAGATGTCACATGATGACTCCACAAAGCTTGATCAATCTCAGGGAATTCGGGATGCCTATTTCAGATTCCTTCTCAAGTCTCTCTCGTTGGGATTCTAGAGCCTCGCGTGAACAAACGTCACAGTTTCAGTGACGTCGCTTGATCGACGCTAACGTCGTCAGGGACTTTGTTCTAGTGAGCTCCTTGTTGTCGCCAGTATTTTCTAGGTTCTGACGAGCAGCCTCGCCCACATCCAGCGCGTGGAGATCAGTCCAGTTCCTGCAGATTCTGTTGGCTTACCTTTTTTTGGTTTAGATTATCGTTTTTGGCTCCTTGTCGGCTTCTTGCTGACAGAGCGTGATAGGTCAGCAGTAGCTAATCATTTAGTTTCTATCAGGTTCAATTGATATTTCCTGCTGAAATCGTCTGTCAAGGATTCGTCTGCGTCCTTCTCTCCGTTCGCTCGGTATTCGTCAGCTCTGTTACTCTTCTAGCTTATGATCCAATCACAAGCGAGCAGACGTCTCGGGAGAAAGCTTTTGAGGTTCCTAACAACGCAACTGGACGTTCCCGGAGTAACCCGTTGAGGCGATTGAGTTAGCAGGGTATTTTTTAGAATTCTAAAAAATACCCGGAGTAACCCATTGAGGCTCCTAGGAGCAATCGGACGTATTAGGAACCGCAGCATCGAGCCACCATGTCCTGGATATTCAATCGAGGCAGCGGCGGCAGCGGGAATTCTCCTTCGCCAGTCGCATCCCCTGCTGCAGCCGCACGCTCCCCCGCAACCGGACTACGATCCCCCATGCCGTCATCGTCCAGGCAACCGATGCCAGGAGCGTCAACGCCTACGCAACCCTCGCCTGCCGTCCTATCCCCATTATCTCCATCCCGAGCCGGCGGATCGCCGGTTGCTGCGTCGATCCCCGACCCGCTGACGTCACGCGCGATTCGGCTGGTGTACAAGGATGACCAGGGCGTGTTTCGGATGGACCCCGAGGCTGTTAGCGCGCTGAGGAGACTGCGAGGACCCCTCGGGGTTGTCGCGGTGTGCGGAAGGGCGAGGCAGGGGAAGAGCTTCATACTGAATCAGGTATTAACGAGGTGGTTGTGAGCAAGGGATGTTTCGGAAGCCCGAGGCCGTTATCGCGCTAAGGAGACTCATAGGAACCCTCGGGGTTGTGCGGAAGAGCAAGGCAGGGGAAGAGATTCAGAGTGAGTCAGGTGACGAATAGTGATCCCTCCACTCTGGATCGGTTCTCTTCAGCTGCTCTCCTCTTTTCGAATTCCCTCATCTCCTCTCCTCTCTTCCCCTTCGTGCCTGCGGGTTCACAGTGGGCCTAACCCCCGTCACCTCTCATGCTTCTTCTCCTAGTTTCTCCAACATTCTCCTTTCTTCTCATGTCTTCCGCCCCTACTCAGCTGCTGGGTCGCAGCAGCGGGTTCACGGTGGGCCCCACGCACCGGCCGTGCACGAAGGGCCTGTGGATCTGGAGCTCGCCTGTCAAGGTGACGGCGCCAGACGGGTCGTCGTACCACCTGCTGCTGCTGGACTCCGAGGGAATCGACGCCTATGATCAAACGGTGAGACGGTTCAACGGTCAAGATTGCATCACAGCACGCTTGTTTTGTTCGCAGTGCGCCCCGCGCACCAGCCAAGCACCTGTACCGCCATCCCCGGCCATGCACCGTGTACCGCCATCCCCGGCCATCAGAGAGGGTTTGTGGGTCTGGAGCTCGCCTGTCAAAAGGCGATGGCGCCAGACGGGATGTTGTACCACCTGCTCGATTCCCTGCTGGCCTCTGAGGGAATCGGCGCGTACGATCAGGTGGTCAGAATTAGATGCTACTAGACGTTTACCTCGAATCGCCTAGCCGACCCCCCCCACCCCCCCCCCCTCCTTCCCCCCCTCACTTTGCGCCGCTACTGTCTCCCTTCCCACTTGTTTCCTCCTGTGTGCAACGCTGCAGGGCACCTACAGCACGCAGATCTTCTCGCTGGCCGTGCTGCCGTAGTGATGTTCCACCCCCCCACTATCCTTCCCTTACCCCTCACTCTCCCCCTCCCCGCACTTCCTCTCCTGTGTGCAACGCTGCAGGGCACCTACAGCACGCAGATCTTCTCGCTGGCCGTGCTGCTGTCGTCGCTGTTCGTGTACAACCAGATGGGTGGCATCGACGAGTCGTCACTCGACCGCCTCTCCATGGTCACTGAGATGGCGAAGCACATCCAAGTGCGCGCATCCTCAGCCTCAGCAGCAGCAGCAGCAGGGTCGGCTGGTGGTGCTGGCTCGTCTACGTCCACACAAGAACTGGGGCTCTTCTCTCCCGTGTTCTTTTGGCTTCTGAGGGTAAGCCATGGTCATGGTGAAGGATGCTCGTTTCCTTCCCAGGTTTTCTTGAGCAGCCTGTCGCTCCTGTGTGTCCTCCCTCCCATTCTGTCTTTCCTCTGACACTCACTATCTCTTGCCTCCCACACTCACTATCTCTTTCCTCTCACACTCACTATCTCTTTCCTCTCACACCTTGCCTCCTTTAAAGCTCCCTCCACTTGTGCCTCTCATACTGTCTGACTCTCCTCCCCTGCCCCTACCTGTCAGGACTTCTATTTCGACCTGACTGAGGACGGGCGGGTGATCACCCCTCGGGATTACCTCGAGACGGCACTCCAGTCCATGGCCGAGGGCTCCGAGTCCGCACGAGCAAAGAACCAGGTGGGATGCAGTTGGTTTGCTCGGTCTATTGCTCGGCTGCTGGTTGACTCCATACCCGTCCCAGTCCATGGCAGAGGACCCCGAATCGGCACGGGTAAAGAACCAGGTGGGATGTGGGCCGTGGGTTGTGGGTTACAGGTTTTAGGATGTGGGTTGTAGGTTGTGCTAGTGTCTGTGTGCACGTACCTCAGTGTCTTGACTAAGAATGTCCATAGCAGAGGACACTGAGTCAGCCAGGGCGAAGAAATAGCTGCTTAGGGGGTTCCGCAGTCTACTGCTCAGTCTTCTGCTCGGCTGCTTCTTGTTCCTGCTGCTCTCTGCACTCACGCTCTCTGCACTCACGCTCTCTGCACTCACGCTCTCTGCACTCACGCTCTCTGCAAGGCTTGCATCAGGTTTGATGTGGGCACCTCTCAGCTCAAGCGGCTCAATCATAACCCCAATCCCCCCCAAACCCTCTCCCCCCCCCTACCCCCCCGCCTCCCTTCTCACCCTTCTCAGGTCCACGAGCCCATCCGCTCCCTTTTCCCCAGCCGAGACTGCTTTGGCCTTTGGCCTATTGACGAATTCTCTGCTCCAAACCCAACCCCTCTCCCCCCTTGTCCCCCTCTCAGGTCCGCGAGTCCATCCCCTCGCAATTCCCCGGTCGGGACTGCTTTGCCCCTTGCTTTATCAACGTCGCAGTGTCAAACCCCAAACCTTCCTCCCCCCTTCCCCCCCCCCCACTCCCTCCTTTCTCCCCCTGTCAGATCCGCGAGTCCATTCGCTCCCTTTTCCCAGACCGAGACTGCTTTGCTCTCGTGCGCCCCATCAGCAACGAGAAGCTGCTGCAGAAGCTCGACCACCTGCCGGTGAGTGCTGTTCTGTGCCGTGTCTATACCTCTTTAGCTTAGTAGCTTGTGTTATACCTCGCAGTAGCTGTACAAACACCTTCTTCATGAGCCGCCTTCCTTGTCTCCCCCCCCTGAAGATATACCAGCTTCGCCCCAAGTCCGTGCAGGGGTTGGGCACATTCACCCAAGCCGTGTTTGTGAGCAATCTTTATTGTATCCTCATATTTCCTGTTTCCCCTTCCCTTCCTTTCTCCCATCTCTCCCTTGCAGATGAACTAGCTAAGGCCGGAGTTCAAGCTCGTGACTTTTGAGTCGACTCATAAGGCCGGAGTTCAAGCTTGTGATAGAAGATTTGCTTTGGGACGTCTCAACTTCAATCTTCCCTTCCCTCCCTTTCTCCCATCTCTCCCTTGCAGATGGACCAGCTAAGGCCGGAGTTCAAGCAGGGGCTGGACGCTTTCACGCAGTCAGTTTTTGCGCGCGCTCGCCCCAAGAGGGTGGGCGGCACAGTTATGACTGGGCCCATACTGGCCGGGCTCACTCAGACTTATATCCAGGCGCTCAATAACGGGGCTGTGCCCACCATCCTCAACTCCTGGCTGGTGAGTGTGCGAGTGGATCTCTGGCGATGTGTGTGTGTGTGTGTGCGCACGTGCGTGCGCGCGCGCGTACGAGCGCACATTTATTTACTGTGACGCACTCAATAACGGGGCTGTGCCCACCATCCTCAACTCCTGGCTGTTGAGTGTCCGATTCGGTGCATGTGCATGCGTGCATGTGTGTGGGCGCGCGTCTCCCTCTCTTGCCTCGTCTCTGTGTTGTTCTTGGCATCTTCCTCTTTGTCTGCAGTTCTCTCGTCTTGCTAATTCCTTCCCTGTGTCCCCCCCTCCTTCCTCGCCCTGCCTTCCTCTCTCCTCCTCCTCTCCCTTCTCCCCTCTCCCAGAGTGTGGAGGAGACGGAGTGCCGCAGGGCGTTCGAGGCTGCACTGGAGGCGTACACGAGGGCCTTTGGGAACCCCGCCTCTGCTGATGAGGTAGGCATTTGAATTGGGTGCCCCGGGTTCAGGAGAGAGGTGGTTGAGTCAGCATCGGGAGCATACGTAACAGAGAATCGAAGTGCCTCTTTTTGAGTCTTATTTATAAACCCTGAATCTCTCACCTCCCCACACCTCCCCATGCCTCCCCTTTACCAGGACGACCTGAGAGCTCGCCACAGGGCAGCCCTGCTAGCAGCGGAGGCGGCGTTCAGAGAGGAGGCGGTGGGGGAGGGGCAGGCACGGCAAAAGTATGAGGAGAAGCTGAGGGAGGAGGCTGGGAAGAGGTTCGAGGTGAGACATTCTGGTGGGGGAGTGAGGGCGGGGGTGCAGGTTGGTGGCAAGAGTTCCAGGCAAGGGTAGGGTGGGGGGGTATTGACCCATGTGATCCATACAACTGTGCTTGTATGTGCATGTTGATGAATGGATGTGCTGAAGCGGGTGGCAGCAGAGGCCGAGGTGCAATGCAGCCGGTTTGTTGACGCCCTTCAGTACAGACCAAGGAGGGCCTGGCAAGGGGTTGCCCCCCACCCTCCGGGCGTCTCACCGCTGACACTTTTCTGTATGATCTGAGTGATCCATCAGTGAGGAGTCTATTTTTGAGGCGCCTCAAAAATAGACTCCCCACCCTCCAGGCGTCTCACCGCTGACACTTTTCTGTATGATCTGAGTGATCCATCATGGCTATGTCCCCGCTGCTCCCCGCTGCTCCCTGCTGTGCACCTACACAGGATGTGCTGAAGCGGGTGGCAGCAGAGGCGGAGGTGCGGTGCACGCGGTTCCTAGATGCCTTGGAGGCAAAGGTCAAGGGCCTGGCCAGGGGCCCTCCCCGGGCGGCTACTGCTGACGTGGTGCGTGCGCTGCTTGCTGAGCTGGCGGCGTACGAGTCGTCCATGTCGGGTGCTGCCAAGTGGCGGTGCTTATCTGCGTTCCTCGTTGCCAGGTCAGCATGAGATGGGTGCTGAGTGTGGGGTGGTCGCTGTGAAGTCATAGCGTTGTGGGGTTATGAGGGAGACATGGAGAGGCTAGAGGAGATTTGTTTGGGCTAGAGGTATCTCAGGAAACTTTCTTTTCGTTCCCCGTTCCCTCCCTCCCTCCTTTCCCTTGTTAACTCCTTTTGTGCTTTGCTAGGCTTTTCTCTTTCTGCCCTCCTCTCCCTTCACCTCCTCTCCCCTTTTCCTATCTCCACCCCCCCCGCCCCCTCTCCACCCCCCCGCCCCCCAGCTTCCCCGCGCAGGATGCATGGCCTTATCTTCCCTCTTGTCTAATCTCCACTTTGTCTCTCGTGCTTCCCCCCTCCACCCACCCCTTTCCCGTCCGTTTCCGCCCCTCCATGCCCTGATTCCCCTCTTCCCTTTTCAGCATGCGCGGCCTTGTGTTGGACTCAGCCGAGAAAGAGATTGCCGAAGCAAAGCAGCAAGCCTCGTCCGCACTCAAGGACAAGCAAGCCGCCGAGGCTCGGGCCTCCGCCGAAGCTGCGGTGGCGGCTCGGGAGGCCGCTGCAGCTGAGGACTGGAAGAAGCGGGTGGCAGCAGTGGAAGGACAGCTGGCGGACGCTCATAGGCTGGTTGGGGAAGGGAGGGAGGAGAGGGAGAGAATGAGAAAGGAAGTTGAGGAGGGGAGGAGGAGGGCGGAGGAGAGGGAGAGGGAGTGTGCGGGTTTGAGGAAGGAGGTGGAGAGAGTGAGGGAGGGAGGGGAGAAGGAAGTGAGGAGGGCGGCTGGGGAGGCTGAGAGGTTAAAGGGGCAGCTGGAGGAGGCGAAGAGGAGGGTAGGGGAGGAGCAGGGGGAGAAGGTGAAGTGGAGGGAGATGTACGAGAAGGGGATGGGGGAGGGGAAGAGGGAGGTGGAGAAGGTGGTTGGGGAGAGGGAGGGGTTGAGGGCGGAGGTGGAGAGGGAGAGGCAGAGGAGGGAGGCGGAGGTGGCTGCGATTCAGAAGGACAAGGTGTGGTGCTGGGATGGAGCAATTGAGTGAAGGGGGGGATTGGGTGGTGGAGAATGCGTCGCATAAGGGGGGAAACGATTCCCAATTCTTGGAGATTGAGGAGGGGGGAAGCGATTGAGTGCTTATGTTGTGGTGGTTGTATGTCTTCATTCGTATCCCCCCTCCTCACCCCCCCTCCCTGGTTCTCACAGCCGCTTCAAGCACGTACTTGTTAGATTTAGTATGCTTGTACATGCTCCTTGCCCTTCTTTCAGTCGTCTAACAACCTGCCTGGTTGTGCCCCGCAATGTTTCCTCCCAGAACGCATTGGAGCAGCGGCTGCGAGCAGAGGCGTCAAAAGCAGCGGACGAGGCTACTGAGCTGAAGATTCAGCTGGAGGTTAGTGAGAGTGCTGGATGCCATGGAGTGTAGTGCACACAGGGTGCGTGTGTGAGAGCGGGCGGGGATGTGTGCATAGCATCGCTTCGCATGTTGTGTGTTTTGAGGCCTCCTGGTATGGGGGTCCAATGAAGATGCCGGGCTCCAATGAAGATATGGGGCTCCAATGACGCACGGTTAGCACATGCTCCCGAATGATCTTCATTCTCTCAACCCCTGTCCGGCTAGATCTTCGTCCTCTCTACCTCTGTCTGCGCCCATTTCTCCCCCACGTGTCCACCAGTCCCAGGCAGCGCGCCTGGCAGCAACGGAGAAGGCGCTGGTGGAGGCAAAGGCGAGAGGAAGGGATGTCCCCCCCTGCTTTATCCCCTAGCCCACCCGATTCACCCACTCTCCCCCCTCCCCTCCCCTCTCACCGATGCAGCCCCAGGCAGCACGGCTGGCAGCACGGCTGGCAGCAACGGAGAAGGCGCTCGTGGAGGCAAAGGCGAGGGAGAGGGGGAGGGGCTGGTCCCCCTTTATGCACACGTTTGCCCACCACCCCGACCCTCTCCCTTCTCTTTCTCTGTTTCCCCGTCTTGCAGTCCCAGGCAGCGCGCCTGGCAGCAACGGAGAAGGCGCTGGTGGAGGCGAAGGAGCGGGAGAGTCTGTGCACCCCATGTTCCCTTCCCCTCTCCCCAACCTGATCCCGTCATGTTTCTGCACCCTGCGCTCAACAGGCCCAGGCAGCGGCTGGTAGCAACGGAGAAGGCACTGGTGGAGGCAAAGGCGAGGGAACCAGAGGCCCACCCCACTTACGCCTTTCCCCTCTCTCCCTTTCCCCCGCGTGTTCCGTCTTGTCTTGCAGTCCCAGGCAGCGCGGCTGGCAGCAACGGAGAAGGCACTGGTAGAGGCAAAGGCGAGGGAGAGGGAAGTTGAGGAGAGCATGCGAGAGGCGACCAGGACGGCTGGCAGTGCGAGCAAGAGCGTGCAGGTGAGGCTGGAAGCAAGTTTTGAGGCGCCTCAAAACTAGACTCCTATCACGCAGTTTTTGAGGCGCCTCAAAACTAGACTCCTATCACGCAGTTTTTGAGGCGCCTCAAAACTAGACTCCTATCACGCGGTTTTTGAGGCGCCTCAAAACTAGACTCCTATCACGCGGTTTTTGAGGCGCCTCGAAACTAGACTCCTATCACGCGGTTTTTGAGGCGTCTCAAAACTAGACTCCTATCACGCGGTTTTTGAGGCGCCTCAAAACTAGACTCCTATCACGCGGTTTTTGAGGCGCCTCAAAACTAGAGGCAGTGCGAGCAAGAGCGTGCAGGTAAGGCTGGAAGCAAGGTGAAGTGATCTTTCATGGCTAGTGGAGGCATAGGCGCGGGAGAGGGAGGTGGAAGATAGTATGCAAGAGGCTACTCGGACGGCTGGGAGTGCAAGCAAGAGCATGCAGTTAAGGCTGACGCTCCAGCCCCCCTTATTGCCCCTCCGCCCCCCCGCCCTCCTCCTCCCTCACTACGGTTTTGCTCTCTTCTCTCGTGTTATGGCCACGAGGGTGTGGTCTCTCTTGTTCCCGCTCCCATTTCGTCTCTCGCCACGTTTGCTCTCTCCTCTATCTCTCTGCCCTCTCTATTTCGCATCAAATCTTTCCCCCTTACCCTCCCACTTCGTCTCTCGCCACGTCTGCTCTCTCCTCTCTCTGCCGTCTCTATTTCGCGTAAAATCTTTTCCTCTTACCCTCCCTTCTTCACACTGCCCTCTCCCCTCCTCCCACCTTGCCGCTCATGTCTCCAGGCTGCAAGGGAGGCTAAAACAGCTGCAGAAACAGCGAGCTGTATAGGACTAATCCCTATAGCCCTACCCGTTGCGTTCATCCACACTCCTCCCTCTTTCCAACCCTCCTGTTGCAGGCTGCTAGAGAGGCGAAGGCAGCGGCAGAAGCAGCGACAGAGAATATGGAGCACCAGCTACGTCAGGCTGAGTCAGCACGCACCTCCGCTGAGCTGGCAGCTCGGCGCGAGGCTGAGCTGGCCCGCCAGGCTGGCATCCGCGCTGACTCAGCAGCCAAGGATCTCCAGATGGCGGTGGAGCAGGTACAGGCGGCCCAATCAGCAGCAGAGGCGGCAGGAAAGAGGGCGGAAGCTGCGGAGGGGAGAGCGAGGGAGGTCGAGAGGGAGACAGAGCAGTTGAGAATGAGGGTAGTGGAAGGGGAGGAAGAGGGGAAGGGGAGGGCTGATGCGCTTTTGAGAGAGTGTGAAGAGCTGAGAGGGGAGGTGGGGAGGAGGAAGGAGGAGGTAGGGGAGACGATGGCGATGCTGGCAGTGTGTGAGGTGGAGAGGGAGGGGTGGAGGAGGAAGGAGGGGGAGGCGAGGAGTGAGGTGGTTGGGCTGAAGGGGGAGGTTGAGAGGTTAAAGGGGGTGGTTGAGGGGATGGGGGTGGAGTTGGGAGTGGTGAGGAGCGAGAGGGAGGAGATGAGGGGGGAGTGAGAGTGAGGGAGGAGGAGATTGCACGGTTGAGAGGGATGCTGGAAGTTGCAATGAGGGGGAATCAGGAGAGGGAGAGGGAAAGGGGGAGGGAGAGAGGGGTGGGGAGGGTGGATGGAGCGGTGGGAGAGGGGGAGGGGACTGTGGGGATGGAAGTGGAGGAGGATGAAGAGGCGGGGAGGAAGAGGAAGAGGGCGAGACTGGGGGCGGCTGCTGCTGGTGCAGGTGCTGCTGCTGGTGAGGGCACTTCGGCTGGTGGGGATGGAGGTGCCTCTGATGCAGGTTTTACTGGTGCAGGTGCTACTACTGGGGGTGCTGCAGGGGCGGGAGATAGCGCTGTGACGGGTGATGCTGCAGAGACAACAGCAGGAGAAGGCAGCAAGCGGAGAGGCAGGGGTGCAGGCAAGAAAGCACCTGCTGCTGCTGCTGCTGGGGCATCTGCACCCGCGGTGCCAGCGGTGGGAAGAGGAGGAGGAGCAGCAGCAGCAGCAGCAGCAGCAGCAGCAGGAGCAGCAGTAGCAACAGGAGGAGTTGCGGTGGCGCCCTCGCCTGCAGCATCAGGCAACACGGGATTCGAGTCAGCCCAGGCAACAGGGCAGGGCAGCGAGATGGATATGGATACTGAGGGGGCTTCCTTTGGTGGCGTGTTTGGCACAGGGGGGAAGGGGGGCACCGAGGGGGATGAGGCGGAAAGCAGTAAGGCAGCCAAGGGGAGGACAGCGGGAGGGAGGAGTAGGAGGGGTGGGGCAGCGAGGAGAGGGAGAGGGAGGGCAGCTCCGGGGGTGGGGGCGGTGACAGCTGCTGACGTGGCGGGGGAGTCTGACGTGGCGAAGAGGCGGAGGGAGATAGCGATGAAAATGACCAAGAGCGAGCTGAAAGATGTGTTGACGGACCATGGGAGGGGGCTGGATGTGCTGGAGCTGAGGACGCCCACCAAGGGTCAGCTGGTGGATCTGTATGTGAAGTTCGTCCCTGGAGTTGGTGACAAGAAGTAGGTGGCAATAGTTGCTGGTGTGACTGGGATGGGAGATTGAGGATGAAGAGTGAGCTGAGGGATGTGCTGACGGACCATGGCAGGGGGCTGGATGTGCTGGAGCTGAGGGCGCCCACCAAGGGGCTGCTGGTGGATCTGTATGTGAAGTTTGTGCTGGGAGTTGGTGACAACAAGTAGCTGGTGCGGCTGGGATGGGAGAGGGGATGGTGTGGGTGGGATGGGAGAGGGGGATGGTGGGGCTCGGATGGGAGAGGGAGATGGTGTGGTGTGGCTGGGATGGGAGAGGGGGATGGTGGGGCTCGGATGGGAGAGGGAGATGGTGTGGTGTGGCTGGGATGGGAGAGGGGGATGGTGGGGCTCGGATGGGAGAGGGAGATGGTGTGGTGTGGCTGGGATGGGAGAGTTGGTGATGGCAGAACATGGGATGCCTGATGGCAGAACATGGGATGCCTGATGGCAGAACATGGGATGCCTGATGGCAGAACATGGGATGCCTGATGGCAGAACATGGGATGCCTGATGGCAGAACATGGGATGGGGCTGGATGTGTTTGAGTTGAGGATACCTGTGAAGGATCAGCTGGTGGATGTGTATGAGATGTTAGCGGCGGAGCGGTTGATGCGAGAGATTTTCGTCGTGATGCGAGAGATTTTCGTCGTGATGCGAGAGCTTTGGAAGTGGAGTCAGATTGTCTAGTTCATTGTCTTCTGTGCTAGTTGGAGTTAGATATCTGTGTGCAGTGCGCATGATTGTTTAGCATCGAGTGCAGCGTGGATTTTTCTGATGGGTGGGTCTATCAAAGTTTGGGTTGGAGTGAGAAACGTTGTCTGAGGGAGTACAGTTGACTAAAGATTGTCAACTAATCCTGTAGGAACCGAAAAAATGGCATGCTACGTATGTGTGAACTGTACACAATGGGCCAGCTGCCTTCCCCTTTCAGGCAGTAGTTACGTGGAGGAACGTGGAAGAACAGGAGGAGCAGGGCCATTTAGCCAAACCAACAGTGCTGCTTGTGGCGCTCATCCCCCTCGCGGGGCTCGTGAGCAGCATACCCAGCAGCTCCGGCGACGATCCAGCTTTTCTATTTAGCCAAACCAGCCTTGCAACAAGCCGATGCTCAACATTTATGCAGTCCTCTAGCCAAACCAGCCGTGCTTCTTCTGACCTCCCTCTGCCTCCCTCTCCCTCCTCTTGATGTCCTCCTCGTCCTCCTTCCTCTCATGGCGCTCGTGTGCGGCATACGCGGCGGCACCAGCAGCGATCGCCTCACCGATGCGCTCCCCTCGCTTGTGCCCTTCATATTCCTTCTGCATCTTCTGTTGGCGCACACTCCAGCCAGGACGCGGGACAGATTACCAGGGGTCAGAAAGCAGACTTCGGTCAAAACGCAAAAGGCAAAAGAGAAGAAAGAAAGCAGAACTTCCTTGAAATAGTTACCTCTTCCTCGGTCTTGCGCTCTTCCCCATAGCCAATACCACCAGCGCGCTCCCCGTAAGCACGTTCATCAGATCCGCGTTCTCCATGCCGCTCACCAACTTCCCCTTCCCCATACCCTGCTGTCCCCCGTTCGTACTCCGTGCCACGCACCGTTCCGTACCCAGTTGTACCTCCCCCAGTCGTGCCGCCATAGCCAGTCGTTCTGCCGTATCCGGTGGTTTCTTCGTGCTTGCCATGGCGGTGTCCCGTCCGACCTTCGCCACTCCCGAAAGTTCCATAGCCACTTGGGCCGGTTTCACCACCGTAGCCTGTTGTGCCCGTGCCGCCACCATAACCGGTGGAGCCTGTGCCACCATAGCCAGTTGTGCTGGTGCCGCCATAATCCGTGCCTCTCTCGCGCCCAGTCACGCCAGAGTATCCGGAGCGCTCGGTAGAACCGCCGCCATAGCCGGGCGTTTCGCGCTCATACTCTTGGCCGCGGCGCTGCTGCCCCTGGCCAGCGTATTCTGCCTCGCCCACGGCGGTTCCATGATGGCCGTATCCGTACTCGCCCTCGCGAGGCTCATCGCGTTTCTTCTCGCCGCCGAAGATTTCCTTCACCTTCTCCATTCTCGCGTGGTGGAAAGCGAGCAAATGAGGGCGACGCGTGTCACTCGCGGTGATAGAAATTGGGGAGGAAGGGGGAAATGTTAGTGAGAAATCTTGATCGAAATGGACTGGTCCGAGGAGAAAATGTGTCGAGTATTTGTGCGTGTTTTGAATGGGTGCGCTGCGGGTGAAGAGACTTGCACATTCGAGCGACGTGAATGGAGCCGAAGCGCGACATTGAAAATTGGGTTCCTTTTTTCCCTGAGCTGATGAGGGGACGTGAATTGCTGACGCAGGCGAACCCCAGCTACCTCATCTCCGTCGTCCAGGTGGGCCAATTTTGCGGATGACACGTCAGGCGTAACAAACAGCCAGCATGGGAAATTCTGCGTAAAATTCGCCCTTATTCGCGTTATGGCGGCGGTTCAACCACGTCAGTTAGTGATTTTCACCACGTTATAAGGGAGTACTATGTGGTGTTCATGACGAACTGACGTTCTATGTATGCTAACTCCATCAGATGGATGGATTTTGAATATACCGGTTACAACACATTCTTAAGAGTAGGTCTGAACTGGGGGGATATTCAGAGCCTTCGTCCATCGTCATGGTATTGTGCGTCATTGAAAAGAAAACGACTAACAGCCATTTATGTACAATTGCAAAGAAGGAGGAGGGCCTAACATGCTCCACAAGCTGGAAATCTAGGAGAACTCTTATGCACCTTCACAATTTCTGAACAAGGAGACTCCTATGAAAGGTGCTATGGCTGCAGATCAAGACTGCTGGCGTTTCTGGTGCTTCACCTCCTGTCAAGCAACAACAAACCCGCTTGGTCAGCAGCAGCACAAAGAAAACCCAACCAAAACGTCACTGAAAGCTTGCCTTACCTCGTCAGGAATCAAGAATTGTGTGGAGTAGAGGCCCTCCTGTTCTCCCTCTGCTGCACCCTTGCCAGGCGAGCCAGCCTTGGCCATCTTCGCAATATACCCACTCATCTCGCCATACCTAGCAACCTCCTCGTCAGGCTCCAGGTCCGTCTCCCTCACAAGCTCTGCCAGGCTCTTGGCGCCTGGGCTCAAAACGGCTGGCTTCTCGCCTGGAGCCTTAGTGGCGGCAACTGGTGCTGAGGTGGCGCGTGGAAGGGTGCCTGCGGGAGGGGCGGGGGCCTTGCTGCTCCTCAAAGAAGCTTCATCTCGCGGCAGCGTAGACTTATCCTGCAGGTTGGACCCGTGCTCTCGCTCCCCTTCCTCAGCCTGGCCCTGCCCTTGCATGTTGCTGGTAAAGCAAGGCACGGGGAGAAATCAGCTACGCGAGAAGGAAATTAGCAACGCTATTTTCTGTGGGTGGAGCATCAGTGAGCCGAGATTGGAGAAGGGAGACTAGGACTCGAGGTGGATGTGTTTCAGAACTAGGGTCGAAAGAATTCGTTCGATGGTTAGAAAGCATCCCATGAGCGAGCATCTTGGGAGCGACGGAGGAAATCCCAGCTCCAGCCAGCGGCTCAACATTTAGGGCATGTCCAGCGCGTTCATTTTGCCCCAACACAGTTTCTGCTGTGTATAATTTGGGCACGACCCCCATTCGGTTCGGAAACGTGCGGCCCACGTCAGTGGGCATGTTTGGAGGGTGTCCGCCAAAACCGTCAAATTCTCGTGCGTGTCCGAATTGACACGAAATTTCGGGTTACCAGATCCGAATTTCGTACCTGATATGCAAAGTGAATAGTATACGAACGCGCTAGCACGCCCTTACCAGACGGCTCCAAGCACATTGCATTGCCATGCAGGGCCTAAGCTCGAGGCTCATTAGATGCTAGCATTAGGTACACTTCATAGTCATACATCCTTACTACTAGATTAGTGCAATTCATACAGCTATAAAATAGGAGACCTGAATAGATTTGCCTAGATAATTAACCTTTTTATTCCACTTGGAAACAGGGTGACTAACTGCGATTCGGGAATCTTTTCTAAACGCGAAGTTCAGAGCACCCTACACCCGTTTCTTTCTGCCCTGCTTGGCATACGAGATGACCCTACGACCGTTGAGTGGCCTGGGCAGACGGTTGTTGGTGCGCTGACCGCTGGACGCGGCGAGCTGGTTCATGTAGCCCTCGATCTGCGGAAAAACGAGACACGTGGGGATCGGATGTTAGTGTAACTGACCGAAAACTCCCATCGATCAAACGCGTGACAGCACTGATGGTATATTAGTGCTCGATGGCTTGGGAATGATGGCGTGACCACCCGAATTCTGTATCATGTACAGCCTCTACGGCTCCATTACTGTAATCAGCGTCACTGTAACGAGTTTTCCGCCCTCTCACCTGTTCGACGGAGGCGTAGAGGCCGCGCTTGAGGATGAACCACTCGATGTTGGGCGCGCAGGGCGGGTACGTGGTGGACCCGCGGTAGTACCAGAAGCCGTACTTCACGTTCAGCGCCTCCTTGAAGTTGGTCGTCGCCGGCACGGACACGGACGTGTTGACGGTCTTAGGGACGTACGGCAGCCATCTGCCGTAGAGGGGGGGGGGGGGGGGGGAAGAGGCGGAGAAGAGACAGATCACGGGTAAGTTGTTACTACACGGTCAGCGCCTCCTTGAAGTTGATCGTCGCGGACCCGGCCACACATGTGTTGGCGGCTTTGGGGAGGCTGGGCAGCCATCCGAAGGAGAGATGGAGCACGGTGGAAGTTACTTGGCTGATTTTTCCACGTTTGAGTTCGGCTCGGAACAAGGCCAGTAACGGCGCGAGCAACTGGGATAGTGACGAGACGGATGGGCAGGCAGGCTCGGTGCACACAGGAGCGCGTTGCGCTCGAAGGGGTGCTCACTTATCGAGCCACGCGTTGCGGACGTTGTTCTTTTGAATGACGATCATGACAGAAATGATGGCGCCCTTGGCGGGGTTCGCGACGTTTTCGTGCACGAAGTGCGCCTCGAGCGGCGCGGGCGCGCCGAGAATGGTGTGCTCCGACGTGGCGTGCAGGAGAATGCCGAGCAGACGGAACTTGCCCGTCGATGTGTACATGAAATTCTCCGTGCCTGCTTGTGGCTGCACGCCTGCGAGTTAGGGAACGAACGAAAGAAATAAAAGGGGAAAGATCAGGGATCAAATTAAATTAGACGCGGATGAGAACGTTTGTGGCGGAAAAAGTAGGAGTCAGGGATAGAATTAAATTGGACGATTGCTTTTGCACATCAGCGTTCGCCATGCTAAGAGACGCGAGAGAGCGAGAGCACGAGATAGTGATGGCAATTACCTCCGGTGAATCCGAAGTTAGAGACGGTGAGCGACTTGCTGAGCGCGTAGCTGATGTTGAGGAAGCGGAGGTCCTTGCCCTTCACCGCCGTCGACGGCTCGATGTTGATCGGCGATTGCGCGCGCGATGTTTGACACGTTCCCTGTAAATAACGAAAGGAAAAATGGGAAGCTGGAGGCAGTTGAGAAATCGACGGCTCGATTTACATCGCGACTACGCTCTCGAGGAGTGCCATGCACCCAGGCACCAGCGGGGATGTATGGGCATGACGAATCGCAAGTTTGCAGGACGACCCGTTATAATATGAAGACTAAAAAAGGTACGACGCGGTAGTGCGACGTACCGTCCAGTCTGCCCCGCTCTTGACGTAGTTCCATGCATGTACGCTGGAAGATAATGCTAGCAATAGCACGGCCAAGACTAATCTGCGATCCATCGGATACAACACGAGGAGCTCTGCTTCTAGTCGCTGCACAAGCACGTTTCCAAGCTTCTGCTAGGCGTCCAGTCGAGTCCCGTACAGTACAAGGGAGGTTTTCTCAGCGAGAGGCGTGAGCGTAATGAAGGCTTCTGAGCGATTTTAATGCCAATGGTGCTTTGGAGCTCCTGAGCGCCGACGAGTCGTCGTTAGTTATCACTCACACCCAGCCCCACTGTAGAAGATGCTGCTGACAATCCCGCCTAAAAAGTAGGAGGCTTTTCGGCACGAGCGGGAGCAAGAAGCGGAGGTGTTAGTAGCGCCAGGGTCTGATGTGTCGCACGGCGACGCCCGCATGGTCATGGCGCACCACGTTTTTCGGCTAGGGGGAAATGCTGTCGCTCAATGTCGCTTGGAAGCACTGAAATGTCGCAGGGTGTGGGGAGGACAGTGCATGCGGTTGACCGAAGGCGGTGCTGAACGGAGGGGCGGTGATGCTTATGTGGGATCGCGACTCGGAACCGAGGCGCAAATTTGCCACGATGCGTGTCGGTGCGCGTTGAGAATCACACGATGAGGGAAGCTCCGAGGTTTGTGATAGGCCAGGTGCTGACTTCGATAAACCCGGATTGTCACGAAAAGGCGAACATGCTTCAAAGGGGAGAGGGTCAAGCGAACTAGTTACATGTGCAGAGATTTTCCTCACCAAGACTTCTTTCGAGATTATTCACAAGAGAGCCCATTTAAGAAAGGAAAAGCATGACCTATACTAAAGGTGCACAAGGAAAGTGTAAGGAAATGGTATTTCCTTATCACGGGTTTTATTCAGTGAGGTGTACACTGCCATCACGGGGTTTCCGCGCATCTCTGCCACGAAATTCAAATCGCGGTCCCAAATGTGGTCTCCTGACGAGCCGCACGCATTATTGCACGCCTTACTGTTGCATGCCTAGATCTGGGCGCTTCGCGCCAATTTACTATCAAAGTTAACGAATTGAATAGAGCCATGGCATAGAAGGGAATATTGTCAAAAGACTAGCTTAGCTAGGAAGCCATAGAATGGCACAAGGTTTAGCTAGGAGCTAGGAGGAGCCATGAGAATGGCGAGAGGTTTTAGGTGCTAGGAAAGTTGAGGAGAAGAAAAGAGTGTTGGATTAGGAAGAGAGAGGAGTACAAGGGGGGGTTTGTACCCTCTACAGAAAAGGTTCAGTAACAACCTACCAAGCCTATATAAATTATAACTTATATAATTTTAACACACCCCCTAGGCTTGGTAGTCACACACCCACACACACCCACACCCCCTAACCTAGCACCCCCATTCCAGCCACAATAACAGCGACTCTAGGTCGGTCGACCCCACGGCGCGTGAGGCGGCAACGTCGACCGCAGGGGCTGCGGCGGCGGCAGTGTCGACAGCGGCGGCGGCGGCGGCGTGCGGCTGC